CTCCTGCATTTTTAACACAATAAAAACAGTGAAATGAAACAAATAAAGCAATGAGTATTTGGGATGGGAGATGGCAAAGAAATCTGAACCCCTTTGAGGCACACTCCTGGAGTGAGAATAAACGGGAGTAAGAAACAAGAAGAGAGCAAAGAAGTGAAAAATCAACTTTCTGTCTCCCTCTACCAATCCTTTCCTCCCAGAAGACTCATCAGTGAAAATATCACCAACATTCAATTTCTCAGAGGTTCTGAGTTCCACTCCATAATTCTATCTGCCTCATTTTCATTCCTGATGATGAGCAATTTTGTTAGATCTGAAAACAGAAGGCACATTTGGATATGTATTTTTAAAATATGCACCCAGATGAGTACTTTTGCCCTATGCTCAAGTATGAAAGTATGCAGTCAAATGGGCCTTAGGAAGTCTGAGCAACAACAAAGCTGATGGAGGTGACAGTATTCCGGCTGAGCTATTCAAAATCTTAAAAGACGATGCAATAAAAGTGCTACACTCAATATACCAGCAAACTTGGAAAACTCAACAGTGGCCACAGGATTGGAAAAAGTCAGTTTACATTCCGATCCCAAAGAAGGGCAATGCCAAATAATGTTCAAACTACCACACCATTGCACTCATTTCACATTCTAGCAAAGTTATGCTCAAAATCCTACAAGCTAGGCAGTATCTGGACCCAGAACCACCAGAAGTACAGGCAGGGTTTCGAAGAGGAACTAGAGATCAAATTGCCAACATACGCTGGATCATGAAGAAAGCTAGGGAGTTCCAGAAAAACATCTACTTCTGCTTCATTGACTATGCTAAAGCCTTTGATTGTGTGGATCACAACAAATTGTGGCAAGTTCTTAAAGAGATGGGAGTACCAGACCACCTTATTTGTCTCTTGAGAAACCTGTATGCGGGTCAAGAAGCAACAGTGAGAATTGGACACGGAACCACTGATTGGTTCAAACTTGAGAAAAGAGTTTGGCAAGGCTATATACTGTCACCCTGCCTATTTAATTTATATGTAGAGCACATCATGAGAAAGGCGGGGCTAGATGAATCACCAGTTGGAATTAAGATTGCCCGGAGAAATATTAACAACCTCAGATACGCAGATGATACCCCTCTAATGGCAGAAAGTGAAGAGGAACTAAAGAACCTCTTGATGTGGGTGAAGGAGGAGAGCATAAAAGTTGGCTTGAAACTCAACATTAAGAAAACTAAGACCATGGCATCCGGTCCTCTCACTTCCTGGCAAATAGATGGGGAAGAAATGGAGGTACTGACAGATTTTATTTTCCTGGGCTCCAAGATCACTGCAGACGGGGACTGCAGCCAAGACATTAAAAGACACTTTCTCCTGCGGAGGAAAGCTATGGTAAATCTAGACAGCATACTAAAAAGCAGAAACATCACCCTGCCAACCAAAGTGTGTATAGTCAAGGCTTTGGTTTTCCCACTTGCAATGTATGGCTGTGAAAGCTGGACCATAAGGAAGGCTGAGCACCAAAGAATTGAGGCCTTTCAATTGTGGTGCTGACGAAAACTCCTGTGAGTCCCTTGGACTGCAAGGCGATCAAACCAATCAGTCCTAGAGGAGATCAACCCTGACTGCTCTTTAGAAGGCCAGATACTGAAGATGAAACTCAAATACTTTGGCCACCTAATGGGAAGGAAGGACTCACTGGAGAAGAGCCTAATGCTGGGAACAATTGATGGCAGAAGAAGAAGGGGCGGCAGAGAATGAGGTGGCTGGATGGAGTCACTGAAGCAGTCGGCATGAGCTTAAGTGGACTCCGGGGGATGGTAGAGGACAGGAAGGCCTGGAGGAATGTTGCCCATGGGGTCGCAATGGGTCGGACATGACTTTGCGACTAACAACAACAGGTATTAAAATGCACATCTTTCCAAAATGTGTCTTTTTAAAATGTGTATTTTTCAAAGCAGAATTGCAGGCTTGGGAATTTACAAGCTTTGCTTGCAAAATGTGCTTGTGTTCAGGTTTGAGGCACAGATGAACCCAAGTAAAATGCTGCGACATCCATAAAGGAAACTACAACTGTCCATACCTTGGATTAGGATTTGTACAGAAGGAAGACATCTTTCTACAGGAAGTTCCCCAGAAAAGGCCAGGGGGCATGTCCTGGAGGCAGCTGGCCCTTTTCCTTGTACATTTTGAAGGCTGAGAAGAACAAAGTGAAGAGCATGCAGAGAATAAGCAGCATTCCAGTGGCCACCTCCATCTTTCTCCTGAGAAGGTCAATGAACTGATTAAAGAAAGACAAGCTGGAAAGAAGAAATGTGCCTGTCTGAGCCTACACGGAGCCCAAATTCAGACTGTCATGTATCTTCCCTGCATTCCTTCTGAAGTCCTTCCTTTTCCATGCTCTTTGCTCTCTATTAGCACGGGTCAGGGGGTGTAGTCAGTAACACCCAGACCTTGGCTGTTCCTATGCTGTTTGACCCAAAGGTGTTAAACAACAGACTACAAGACCCTCATATATAAAGGGTCAGCCCAGAATTTCTGGGTCAGCCCAGAATAACCATTATGTAAATCAAACCGTAAGTACTGTAATGCTACTGCCTGCCTCTCGTCAGGGCTGGCCCAAGAAATGTTGCTGCCTGAAGCAAGACATCAGTTGTGTCCCCGCCACACATATCTCATACAAAAGGCAGACATGGCTGCTCACACCCCATGTTCACACCCATACTGTTGCTCTGGTCCCAGGCCTCAACAGACATATTTTCCATGCACAAGATCGATGCAAGACATTGCACAGGAAGAATCCTCAAAACGAAGTGCTGCAAATCCCCTAACCACCAGGACTGTGAGGGTAAAAAATACCATGTTGACACCTGGAGAATCAGGCCCACGGCAGGGTGCTGGCATGACACAGCTCCCAGCTGGCTCCTACTTAGCTGCCCTCCCCTCCCTGGCCTCCTTGGCAGCACCAGCATGCTTCTCATGAACACGAAGCCAGCCACGGAAGTCACCCAGTTGGCTCCATGGCGGAGCGAGGACTAGAACCCGGATCATCTGAGTCCCAGTCCCATGCTCTTAACCACTACACCACACTGGCTCTCATAGGGAAATAACTCTCCTATGCCTTTAACAGTTGCTGCACAAATGCATCAGGCACCATATTTCACAAGGATGGATGTGTCATGGTGGGCAGACCATGCCCTGTTTCTGCTTGCCATGCAGCTGATTCTCAGCTGAGGAGTGGCCATCTCATCCAGCATATCTTGTTCTTACTAAGCTCATCTCCTTGCACTGTCAGTTTCCAGAATGCATGAACAAATCATAATAATACCGATGATGGCAAGATTTTAATTTCATGCAGCACCTAGAGGCAAGTACTTACCTCTCTGACAGACTATTTATTTATTTATTTGTTTAGAAAGCTTCTATGCCGCCCCATTCGCCAAAGCCTCGGGGCGGCTCACAACAATAAATAAATGATAACGATATAAAAACAATATAATTAGAGACATCCAGGCCAAAGATGTAAAATAGATAAATAATATTAGCAATTAAAATGATGTTTAAATAAAAAGGTCTTCGCCTGGCGCCGAAAAACAAATAACGACGGCGCCAGGCGGACCTCTCTGGGGAGCGCATTCCATAGATTGGGCACCACCGCAGAGAAAGCCCTCCTCCGAGTACCTACCCTCCTAATATCCTTCATGGAGGGTTCTTGGAGAAGGGCCTCTCCCGCTGATCTCAAGGAGCAGGCGGGCACATATGGATGTAAGCGCTCCTTCAGGTAACCAGACTAAGCTTTTCAGCTGCTGTCAGGCCATTGCAGAAGCATCAGTGGGCAGAAGATATAGCTGTCATGTGAAGAGAGTGCTGGAATTAGGTTCTCCCATGCAGGCAATAAATGCCCAGCTTAACAGTCCTGCTTTTCCCAGAGGGGTAGCTTTAGGAGTCTGTTTTCAGGCAGCAAAAGCAGTGAAGTGCCAGGTAGTCCCTTAAACAGGAAAAAAAATATATTCTGGCACAAGCATTCATAGACAATCAGTTCATCGGACACTTTAAATGTGGTTTCAAATCTCCCTAAACCATTTCAGCCTATTTAGCTTGGGAAAAAGATGGCTCAGATTGATAACCAGTGTGGTGTAGTGGTTAAGAGCATGGGACTGGGACTCAGACAATCTGGGTTCTAGTCCCCACTCAGCCATGGAGCCAACTGGGTGACTTTGGGCCAGTCAAAGACTCTCAGCCCAACCTACCTCACAGGGTTGTTGTTGTGGGGATAAGATGGAGGAGGAGAATGATGTAAGCTGCCTTGAGCCCTTTGGAAGAAAAAGGCAGGATATAAATCAAAAAATATAAATAAATAAATAAATAAATAAATACATAAATAAATAAATAAATAAATATAAAGCCCTAAATGGCTTAGGACTTAGATATTTGAAGATCTGGAGTGGAGGTCCTTCTTCAGGAGACCTCTTTGAAGGAGATCAGAAGAGTGGCTACCCGAAGAAGAGCCTTCCCTGCGGTGGTGCCCAGGTTATGGAATGGGCTCCTCAGAGAGGTGCGCGTGGTGCCAACACTTTTTTCATTTTGGCACCAGGTCAAAACCTTATTTTCCCAGAATTTTAAAAGTTAGTATTATTTGTAATTTTGATTTTATATATTATTGTAGTGCTGTGTCTTATTTGTGTTATCGCCACCCTGAATCACTGCAAAGGGTGGGATAAATAAATACTACACAGAATGCCCAGATATGGGCTATTACAGCAACACACAAATTGAAATAATCAACAAACAAACACACTTAGGAACTAACAATTTTGAAATGATCTGGACTAGAGATAGATTGAACCATCCAGCTCTAGTTGTTTTTGCTTTGCTTGTTTTCCTAATCTTATCAGGTTCATTGCTGGAATCAGAAGTGGCCCTTTCTTTCCACCTGAATGCTTATTAACAAAGATTATATATTAGGGAGAATACTACTGCCTTATGTGGAACCTGGACAAAAGAACAAACATTCAGGAAAATGTATATTTATTTTTGAAAGTACATTAATAGCACTTGAATGTGTGGTTCATTTTAATTAGGACAAGTTAACAAATGGATGGAAGTAACAGAATGTCTCAGAAGTTCTTCTTGTCTGCCATCCTAAGTTTATATTTAATCATGAGACATTCAGTGAGTGAGTACAGTTCAGTCTCAACGTCTAATGGCCCGTATCAGGGGATATTGATCTCTTTGTTTGAAAGATGTTATGTCGATATTTTGGCCATCTTCAACCAACTGGAAAGTGAAGTTCTGGAGCAGAATGCTGAAGAACAGGAAAAGCTCCGTCCGAGCCAGTGCTTCCCCTGGGCAGGCCCGCTTTCCTGGTGGAGAAGCCAAGATAACAGATAATCATGAGGAACCTGTACTATGCCCCAAAATACCATGAGTATGAGCACCAAGCCTGTGAGTTAGGTCATGTTGACCAAAGCACATTACCTGCTGAAAAGGCCATGAAGGCATCCCTCTTCCTGAACTGGCCCTTCTCATCCAAGAAATGTTGCGGATTAAACTTTTCTGGTGTTTCCCATTGCAGAGGGTCAAAATGTACAGATGTAAGAAGTGCAGTGGCAGCAGTGCCCTTCAAGAAGAAAACGGACAGGTTACATTACTCACTTCCACATTATGGCAGGGTATTCATATGGATATTAGCCTGATGGATATCTAAGTCAAGTTTTGAGAAAGAAAGTGGAAGAGTGCCTTGAGCAGAATGGGTTGCTACTAACGAGGGATGAGAGGGTTTCTCCTGAGCAATTCTCTTTTTCTTCCATCAGTTCATCCTGCCCTGCTTTCCACTCCTTCCTAGTTTAGCCAGGCGAATCCCCAGAAAAATTGCTGGATGATACCTGCTCAGTTTTGCTTTCTGCATTTGCAACCCATCCATCACAGCGCAGAAATACTCCTTACTCATAATACAAGCACAAAAGTAATTTTGATGTCATGTGTGTGGCTGCATATACAGATAAGCCTAATTTTTCAGAAGAAATTACTCTGAGAAAATTTGTGAGATGCACACAGCCTAGAAGAGGAGCTGCCCACAATTTTCTCATGCATTGTCCAGCAGTTGTGTTGTGTGAGTGGGTGTGGTAGCTGCCCTCCCGCCACCAATGTCCCGGAACATGACTAGGTCTGGAGTCATATGAAGGAACCAAATCGTGTTAGGTCTGCTGGCACAGCTGCTTCTTCAATTTCCATATGCTCTGCCCACAAACAGAGTGGACAATTTTGAGTGGCCATATTAACTTGTTTGAGTTGACCAATGACAGGTGTGGTCATGGTGAATATAAAATAAAACACAAAGAAATCCTAACCCAACTAATTGCTTTCACTTTGTCTCCGGAAGTCTCCCATTTTTGCAGCTCAGCTGTTTCTTCTGCAAGAAAATGGATTCTTATGGCAAGGCATCAGGGAAGTGGAAACAAAATGCAACACTCCCTACAACACCAGGGTATGAACATGATGGCAAATTCCTTCATTTCTTTCCCTCAAGGTGCCTCATCTCATACCTTTGTGAGTGTGTATCCCCTGAATTCTGTATGGCAAGTCAGTTCACGTGGAAAAACCTCAGCAGCCGTTTTTCGGAATCGTAGAATCTCATGGATGACGGCATTGGTGAAGGACATCCTCATCCGTTCCTCCATGCCAGCGGTATGGTTGCCACCTAACACATCATCAATCTCCTGTTGAACCTTTGCTGTAGTGAGAAACATTCAAAAGATGGGATTCTCAAATTCTGAACCACAATCAGCAGAGTTTTCATCCTGGACCTTCTTGGACATGATACAAACAGCCAGATTGACTCATGTGGAATCATATTTCAGAAATGGAGATTCTTTAAGAAACTGTAACAGGCCAAGGTCGAACTACAGGCAAGAATTTGAAGGCCGCCAGAGATTTGCTTCACTAAGCAGGCTATATAATCTCATCAATCTCCCTAAACCATTTCAGCCTATTTAGCTTGGGAAAAAGATGGCTCAGATGGATAACCAGTGTGGTGTAGTGGTTAAGAGCGTGGGACTGGGACTCAGACAATCTGGGTTCTAGTCCCCACTCAGCCATGGAGCCAACTGGGTGACTTTGGGCCAGTCACAGACTCTCAGCCCAACCTACCTCACAGGGTTGTTGTTGTGGGGACAAGATGGAGGAGGAGATGTAAGCTGCCTTGAGCCCTTTGTAGGAAAAAGGCAGGATATAAATCCATAAATAAATAAATAAATAAATAACAGAGTAGAGGCATAGACATCTATGACTCAGGTGGCAGAAGAATCTGTTTGCATTCTCAAAACATTACAACCCAGAATCTGCTTACCTTGTATGTGTGGCAGCTTAGCCATCACCAGAAGGCCATAGAGCAAAGTATTGCTTGTGGTTATTGACCCTGCAAGGAAAAGGTCAAATACACACATGACAAGCTCTTCACTATTGTAGACATTCTCAGGAGAGATCTGGTCCTGTAAATAGGGGTGGAGAGAAAATGAGAGAATGAGCATTTGCTCTCGAAAGAAGGACACAAGAAACAGAGACACCCAACCCTTTTCCAAGCAGATGGAATCCCTCCCCTCCTCTCCCCCATGTATATATAGGCTTAATTCAAATCAAGTAATGATTGGGCCAAGTAATGGGGCAGCAGGTACCCTTGATTGTATCTTTGTTCCAGGGGATGGGGAAGCAGTTTCGGTACAGAAGCAGTTGAGGTAGCTCTAGTTGTCAGGGTGCCTGGTCCAGCTTAGTGTCAGGATCAGGCCTGAGTGACCCTGCAAGTGCTTGCAGAACCCGAAGCACCTTTTCTGACTTCATTAGAAAGCAGTCAATGTAGTCTCGGGGGTTCTGAGGATCCAGCGTCAGCCTGTGGGATTCCACCTTTGCACGGATGAAGGCGCACATCTTTTTAGCCTCAGCCATGATTTTCTTATGCCATCCAGGCAGGTAGTCCATGATATTCGCCATAGCACTGTATACCTGGAAGAGAAACGGTGCGTTCCTCCTTAGACAGCGGGAGTCTCGTGTTTTAGATTTGCTTACTGCAGTCGCAGCTGGAATCCCAAAGGTATCACAGAGCAGCTCTTGAGCTCTCCTCATTTGGAAAGCCAAGATGGGGAGTTCTGGTTGAGGACCACTCACTGCTGAGTGATGACGTTACAAACATTAGTGGAATTCACCTGGAAGTAGGCTGCAGCAAGGCAATTGGCATGAAAGACATGGCAATCTTTTAAAGACAATGGGAAACATGCCAGGAGCTGGACAATATATTTTTCTGGACACCAAGTCACTATGATTATGGAAGCATATTTGCTGATCAATGTATGGGCTTCCAAGAATTTGCCACTGTTTCGATGCTGTTTGTATTTGCTTTATTTTGTTACATCATTAGTTCATTAATGTTGTCATCTACAGAAAATCCTAAATAAAAACCTATCAAAAATAGCTGCTCTAGAACATGGGAGTTCTAGAGTACCAAGGACGGTGTTGTTCCTTATGTCAACCAAGCTGTGGAGTCGCACAACATACAGCGGGCAGGCTAAATGGTTTCCTCCGGATGGAAACAACTGGCAGTGACAGAAGCCCTCCACCTGCAAGCGGATTATCAGGCCTGCCCTCCCCATGGTTAGAGTGGACAGTGCTGCCCATGCAGCCAGTCAGGGCAGATGGCCTGAGAGGGGGACCTATCTGGGGCCTGGTTTCTGTCTGGTGCCTCTTACTCCAGGCATGGCTCCTCAGGCTTGGCCACTCGTCTCATGGAGTAGACCCAAAGGCCGCCTTTGGTTTCCACTTGATACTGACTGACCCACCACCTTTGGGAAGATACATGGTTCATCACAGGAAAGGGCACTCATAGACACACACTGCCCGGCCCTGAGCTGAAAATTATGCCCCTACCCAAACCCCAGTGGAAACTGGCTCTCATTTCTCTGACTTTGTTTTTAGGGCAGGGGAAGTCAAATTCAGTGCGGCAGACCACTCTTAGCAACTACAGCCCCCTTGTGGCACAATCAGCAGTCCATTTCTCTCTGCTCCCCCAAACTCTCGCTTTTACATTGCTCCAAAGCATTTCCTGTCTCCATGACCTCCAGTCTGGCAGCACAGTCCTGGATAGGGGCAGGGGGAATTGGAGGCCCTCTCACATGAAACACCCCACTGCCATCCTAGAATGCCACTGTATCAGAGGCAATGCAGAAACACTGTGGCCAAACCCCTGAAGAAAAGGGGGAGCTCTTGCAGGCCATGCAGGAAGCAGTCAAGGAGAGGGGGAAAGGAAGAGCAGCTGCCAATGGTCAGCCCCTCCTATCTGCCCTGAGATATTGTGCCCCCAGACTGACCAAAGAACCCATGCTTCTACATACCGCAGCCTCCGGAAGTCTCTGACATTTTAGCTGTGCCCGATCCAACAGCATTTTCAGTTTAGGGACCAGTAGGCACACGAGGTGAGAGGTGGAGAGGTTAAGATTGGAAGGGGATTGCCAGCTTATGCGAGGGTTCAAACAGGCCACATACCGTCCCATAGTAACTGCATAGGAACTTAAATCTGTTGTCCATAATCCGTAGGTGCTCTATTAGGTTTTCATCTGTGTAATCAAACCGACTCCCATAGAGAACAAAGCAGATCACATTACAAACAGCACTTGTGATGATTCTCCGTGGGTCAAAGGGTTTCCCTGTGGACACACCAGGACACGGTAAATGGGGCCTGGCAGACTGGAGCCCTCTTCCCAGATCCCATGGCAAATACAACTTCCTGATGCTGAAAATGCCATAAGGAAGACAGTCGTTCCATGGTACCCTTATTCCTTTTCAGTCTCTTCTGTGTAACTAACTCCTCAAATAATAGAGGTAGGCAGATGGCAGCTGGTTTTGAGCCTTAGGTGCCTGTTCAAGATACACCTCTCTGCTCAGGCTTTCCCGAGTCTGTCTGTCACTTTCATCAGATCTGTCATTGTTTTATCCTTACCCTGTATTTCGATACTGGAGTCCTTAGTGTGCATTTGCACACCACGGCCCTGGCAGTATGTTCAGTGGCCGATACATTTGCAGAAAGACATGAAGCCACAGAGAGGTGCTCACATTTCTGGGCCTGGGAGAATGCCCACCCCTCAGCTGCAGTTACCCTGCAGCTGCCGTGCCCTCTGCTTCCTCCTGCCATAAACTGGGCACAGCGGGCTTCTCCTGTGAGGCATTTGACCAGCACTTCACCAGGGCCGGGGGAGGATTAGCGCATCCTTCCCAGGGGTCCTCCTCTTCCTGTATGTTCCTTTACGCAACACAAGATGCTGTTATTGCTGCTGCAGCATAAAACAGAACTTGAACTTCACACAACGTTTCTAGGGAGAAGCCATGGATCCTGCAGGAAATACTGCATTATTCTCCCTCTTTAAAATGTGGCTGGAAAACAGGAGAAAGATCCTGGGAGGATGACAACATTGTGTAGAGGATCTGCAAATATCCATGCATGAAAGATCACAAGCGCACTGTAAATGCCTCCTGTACAAAAGTCCAAAAAAATCCTAATCCTATTCCTCTGTTTCTTTTGTCAGTGTTTCCCCTATTTTTCCGGCAGTGGAAAATCTTTTCTGAAGAAATGGGAAGATGGAGAGGATGAAAGCTAAGATTCTTCTGTGCTCTGATACCATGAAAGCAGATATCCCACATGAGATAGGAATGTCCCTGGTTTCACATGGTATTTTCCCAATATATTCAGCACTTGGCACACGGACCCATCACGTGGACAAACCTGGCACTAGAGAGATGCTGCTACTACTAATCCTTCCCTTCCTTGCCCTGCCCTGCACAGCAATAGAGAAGGGCCGGGTTTTAAACTGATGGAAACATTGCCATCAAATCTCCATGTGGTCATTCCAATTCCCTCTTTTTTATTTGCTTTTTTCACACTCTGCCTGGCACTACCGAAATGCTGTTGCTAGTAATGCTTCTCCTTTCCTTTCCTTTCCTTTCCTTTCCTTTCCTTTCCTTTCCTTTCCTTTCCTTCTGATGCAGAGCAAAGCAGAAGAAACTGTTTTAATTTGGAAACATTTCTCTCCATGTGGCCTGTTCTAATTTTCTCTTTTTTACTTTCACTTTTCACCCTCTGCCTGGGGTTGTTTCTCCCTTTGCCCATTCTCTGAATGAACTAGACATGAAAGCACCTTGTGTGGTGGCCACTTCCTCCACCAAGCACAGAGCTTCCTTCTGCACCCTCTCAGACATTGCTTTCTTGCCCATGCCAAATTCCCGCAGGGTGGAAAGTGTGAAACGGCGCAGCTCCCTCCATTTTATCTCACTTCCACTTTTCAAGAGTCCTGTGATCAGAAATATAAACATCATTTTGTTAATACACAACCAACAGAAATGACCAGGAATGTTTTCTGCACTGCTTTCCCCATTCAAATTCCAGAGTGGGGACTGGGGAGACCCGAGTTCAAGTCCCCACTCAGTCAGGAGGCTCCCTAGATGACTTCACTGGTATTTGAACCCCTCTATCCTTCTTTCAGACTTCAGGAAATCCAGCCCCACCCTGCCATCTCCCGTTTTCCTAGTTCGCCTTAAGACACTTCCCCTCCTTGTCCATCCTCAGACCAGGAAGGAAGGGTTGTTTTTGTGCACAGGGGAGGCCTCACCTGAAAAGGAGATGCAGCATCTCGAGGAATTGATATTACAATTCTCTCTCTCTCTCTCTCTCTCTCTCTCTCTCTCTCTCTCTTTCTTTCCTCCTTTCTTTCTTTCTCTTTCTATATGAAAACCTTTTCTAACCTGTCCAGTACAAATGTCTCAGGATGGCTTTCCTTTCTGCCCCTCAGCCCAGGCTATTTATGACTTCTATCTTGACTTGCTTCCCAAATTAAAGAGGAGCTTAAACAAAACAAGAACACACAAGGAAAGATGAGCAGGTTCACCTTGGCTATTGGACACTCTGTCATGAATGGGGATGGCAGAACGCCCTCCAAACACTTCCGCATGACCCACCAAAGCATCTTTCACCACTTCATAACCGCAGAGCACAACCAGAGGCCTTGGTCCCATCCAGACAGTGAAGATGGAGCCATACTTCTCCATGAGCTGAAGAGAAGACCAAATACAAGGGACAGTTGCAATATATTTTAGGTGATGGACTACCAGAACACCACCACCGCTGCTCCAGCCTAGTGTACATTTGGATTTAGAAGTCTCCCCACAAGGGAGATATTCGATATGCTTCACCACACCCAATTGGTCAGGCCTTTGTCCTTTGCAAAAGTCAAACTGGGAAATACGTACAAGGAGACTGAGTTGCAGCTCTGGAGGTGTGGAGTCGCTCGGCCAGCAATGCCATCAGCATTTCAGCATAATCAAAAGAAGCACCTTTCGCTGCGGAAAAGAGATCCAGTCCCAGCCCAGGAGGGAACATGGGACCACGTGCCTTCAGCACCAGGCCGTTCCTTGCGCAAGAGCTGTCTGGGGGAGGAGGCCCGCGTGGTTCTGCCACGTCCCTCTGTCGACGACCTCAACCGCACTTCATGGAACTAGAAGGGGTTGCACACTGGAGCGGAAGCAGCGGTCAGCCATGGCCTCCACCACACCTGAATTCACCCCTCCACCCCACCTGCAATGCCACTGCTCCAGACATCTGAGCAGGGTGAGCAACAGCCCTCCAGGGCTTTGCGATGCCACCCAATGGCCTGCAGTGCATCACAGCTCAGCATTAGCACCCGTACCTGCTTCCTCCTCCCTCTCACAAACACTTTGCCTTTGTCTTGTGTCTCCTGGACCGCAGCCCTGTGGCCAGGCAACAGCCATCTTTCTCAACTTTGAAAAGCTCTTTGGGAATGAGCAGATGAATCATTTACTTCTATTGAAACAAAGAATTCTGATGCTGTAGCCCAACCATTTCCACAGGCTTCATAATGCGCTCCTCCTGAAGTCTCGGACAGACATAGGAAGTGAAGTGTAATCACCTCCCCATGGGCCAAAATTCCTGGGCCATGGGCAGCATCGGCATATGGGGAGACACGAGCGGCGTAACCTGCCTTTCTGCATCCCTATGCCAACAGGATGGCTAGAAGGGAGGGAGAGTCAGCTGACTGCTCCTTTCTAGCCATAGACTTTGACACTGATGGACATTCCATTCTGCCAAATTACTGATTAGTTCTTCTTGCCCAAAATAGAAGCTCATATTCTTTGCTGGTTGTAAGGGCCATATCTGGTCTTTTCTATAGGAAACTGGAACCATGGCAGCCCCAAATCAGTACAGAGCAACAGAACAAATAGCCATGCTAGCTGGTAAGTTCCATTCACAGATAACTGGCCTGGCCAGAGCATGTCCCCCATGGTTGCAGGCTCTTTGGAATCCACATCCCCCCATGGTAGCTCCAGTGACATTGTGGTTGTTGTTGTTGTTAGTCGCAAAGTCGTGTCTGACCCATTGCGACCCCATGGACAACATTTCTCCAGGCCTTCCTGTCCTCCACCATCCCCTGGAGTCCACTCAAGCTCACACCAACTCCTTCAGTGACTCCATCCAGCCACCTCATCCTCTGCTGTCCCCTTCTTCTTTTGCTGTTAATTGTTCCAAGCATTAGGCTCTTCTCCAGGGAGTCCTTCCCTCTCATTAGTTGGCCAAAGTATTTGAGTTTCATCTTCAGTATCTGGCCTTCTAAAGAGCAGGCAGGGTTGATCTCCTCTAGGACTGACCAGTTTGATCGCCTTGCAGTCCAAGGGACTCGCAGAAGTCTCCTCCAGCACCACAATTCAAAGGCCTCAATTCTTCGACGCTCAGCCTTCCTTACAGTCCAGCTTTCACAGCCATACATTGCAACTGGGAAAACCATAGCCTTGACTATACGCACTTTTGTTGACAGGGTGATGTCTCTGCTTTTTAGTATGCTGTCTAGACCAGTAACATTAGAACACTCAAAGAAGATAGCTTCCATGAGAGGGAAAGTGGTATGCAGTGTTATGCAAGAAGAACTGATCAACAAGCCTGCCGTTCTTTTGGCCAAAGGAAGAAACAAAGTGGGTCAAAGGTTCTAAAACCACATGTGGCGTATACAAGCAGTGCTGCATATTAATCTTTCTAAAATTAAAGTGATCCTAAGTGTTCTCTTCTCAGTAACTCGCCTCTTGGAAGCTTAAAGGGGGAAAAAGAGATCCTCCTGCAAAATTCTATGGGACAATAGAAACAGTAAAATCAAACAACAAACAAAGCAGCAACAATTGAGAAAGTAAAATCATACAGAAATTTGGGTCCCTTTGGGACACTGCTGTGTGCAAAGCAATTAAGCCAAGGATTGCTTCATAGTCACTCTAGGCTTAAAGTTGCCTAGGAGATCCTCATATGCCCAACTAACCATCAGGCATGGCAGGAGTCCTGAGGTACCACCACCACCCATTTCCCCCTCAGTCTTCCTATGGATAACATCCCAAGGGATACAATGGGAGCACTGGGGGCAGCAGCAGTGACAACCACAGGAGGTGCCCAATTGGCACGTTGGATACCTGTCACCTGCTTCCCCTCCCCATTTCCTGCCCATGTCAGAAGAGTAGGATATTCGGACAGGCTGGCTCTGTGTGCAAAGGGGATGGGAATGCTTCAGCTCAGAAAAATCATGGATGATCATGGAGAATGGTACCACTGCAGTTCCTTGGGGGGGGGGGGGCGGTGGCACCTCCCAGGTGCTGCAAAGATGGTGGGGAAATCCCTTTAAGGGTGGCTTTCATGATATTTTTTTTCTATGTGGGAAGCTCAAGGGGATATCTCAGTGCCCCACAGTGTCCCTGGGGATGCCACAGGGGGGCCAAGGAAGGAAAAGAGGAAGAAGCAGTATGAAGTTCCTGCCATGACTGATTTTTTGCCAAGCACAGGAGAATTGGCATCATGCTGCATGGTCCGAACTCCCCAGAGGATTAACATGCTGTGCAAACCCTCCCTGTCTTTTAACCTGGTACAAAGGAACCAGGAAGAAGCTACTGCAGGAACTGGTCTTACCTTGGGATAGCATTTGTACAGAGGCAGGGCATCTTTCTGCAGCAGGTTCCCCAGGAAGGGCCAGGGAGCCGGTCCTGGAGGCAGCTGGCCTTTCCTCCTGTACATTGTGCAGGTGGAGAAGAGCAGAGGGAGGAGCACGCAGAGGAGGAGCAGAGCTCCTGACACAACCACCTCCATGTCTCGCTCGAAGCAGCCAAAACTCAGACTAAGGCAGGAAGCTCAGAAAGAAATCTGCCTGCCCGAACCTAAGCAGGATCCCAAAGTCTGCTTCCCCCACATTCCTCATGCATTTAAATCCTTTCATCGTGTCCTTTGTCCTCTGCAGCAGAGTGGGCTACTGATTAACTCGCCTGAGTCCAGAAAAGTCAGCTTGTGGGGTAGTGAACCACCTCATTTTGAGAAGAAACTTGGGCATTCCTTAGGATTGTGTCAAGAAAATGAAGCCAAGGAAGGAAGGTTTGTCTGTTCTCTGCTGCCATCTGCTGGCTTAGCATGCAACAGTAAGGCAGCAAGTTTTAGCAACTGACTAGGACTCTATGGGCAAACCTAGCTTGACTATTTTTTTGGATCAAAAGCAGTTGCAAGAGGTCTTATCAGACTGGACCTAAGAACCGGAGGAGTTGAGATTAACAGTTTCTTCTGATCCACTGGCACGTTCATCAGAACATTGTCCTGATGAAACAGCTCCCACACCTTCAGCTGTCATTAAGGAAAACTGAAATATATCTCAGTGTGTTCTCAAGGGTGGCGGGGCAATAGCAGGGCTGTTTGCAGGATGAGGCGGGAAGAGAGCGAAAAGTAGCTTTTGGTCATGAAAATAATGAAGAGAGCAAGCTCTGGGTGCACTCCAGCAAATTCTAGAATCTCAGAAAGACTCTCTGGTCCTAAACAGGAACTTCTTAATGGTGTGAAAATAGGCATATCCATCCCTCACTCCAACAGGCTTCTGTGTTTTTGCTATTGCTTTGCCATACCTGTAGGCTAGGCAGATCTCACAAAGCAACACAGATTTGTAATGATACACCCAACTTTTCTTTTTATGCACATCCCCAAGCTGTCTTTCTGCCTGAAGAAAGAAATACACATTGATATCATGGCTTGATCTTAGCTTAATACCTTCCCAATATTCTAAACCAGGGAATGTGGCTGCATTAGTTTCTTAGATGAGACCTTATCAATGTATAACCAAGCATTTTCTTAGGTATCATCAGTTTAGATTAGTTAACTATGCTTACTAAAGTAAGTCCATGTTCCATCTCCTGCCAGAAGCAGAAACAGAGGGCTTTCTGCCTTATTGCTATTTACTCTGGATCCTATGCAAGCAAAATAAGACCAAACCACCCCATTGCACTAGTGGTATCAGCAAGTATTAGACATTAAAACCATCATTCTCTCTGTTTGTTTCATGGATAGCAATCCTCGGTGCTTTGATGATAATCCTACGTTTCTACAGTTAAGGTGTGTGTTCTGACTGGCAGAGATTCAACCAATTTTTATCTCATACCGTTGCCTCCGTCCTCTTGAGCGAGTAGACAGTTTGAATCTAAGTCCCGGGGGAAATTCAGCAGGAACTCCTGCTCAAACAAGGAGTCCATATTTAAACTAAACCAAACCTGAGCTTAGAAAAGCAGGGAGAGAAGCCATACATAGCTCTGTACCTACAAAAGTCATGGTACAGGTCTAGCTAGTGGAACAGCCTGCTTCTAAACACAGCGGGAGGGAAAGCTTCCATTTGTGCTTTTTAGAGAAGCTCACAAACTAAAGCACAGAAATAGAGCCATTCCAACTTCCAGAGGCCAAATTATCAGCTAGTTTTAAAACACACACACCCCCTCGGCTCCTCACAAATCGCCTACCCTTTCTCTGCTGCTCCCTCCAGCAACCCATGGTCTACTGTGCTCTCCACTGAACAGCGCCACTCAAGGGGCAGTGGGGAGGCACTCAGCGTGCACTTCCACCCACTGGAAGCCGGTGCAGACCAAGGGTTCAGCCACCGCCTGTCTCGCTTGCCAAGCAAGGCCACCCGATGGGCTTGGCTGCAACGGCAGTTTGGGCAACCTACCTAGAACTATGTATGGGGGCAGGCTTGCGAGGGAGCCAGTTCTGCAGGTGTGAGGGGCTCCAGTGAAGATGCATCTCATCCCCAGTGACAAAGTGGCAGCATGTTTAGAAACTGTACAAGTTCAGCAACAGGGCTAGGAGGCCAGGGCCGGGATTTCTTTCTCCCTTCCCATTGGAAAGTGGCCACAGCCTGTAAATTAGTAACTGAAAGTAAATTCCTCACCTTCTCCTAGTGGAAAATGTTGCTTTCTAGATAAACACGGCCAATAATGCGATTTAAGCAACAGGAACAATAGGGATGGAGGTGGAAAGCCAGCAGGGACACCGGGGGGGGGGGGGGGGGCTGTACATTGCACTGAATGTCACATGTATGATGATTGAAGAGGCTGGCTGATGAGATCCTGGAGGGCCAAAGAGCAGGCCCCGGCTCCTAGGGGACAGCTCCTCTGCTGTCATGGAAAACAGGGAGTCTTGGGGAAGCGGGGTGTCATTCCAAGTGAGAGGGAAATGATCCCTTAGGTCAAGATGAGATTCCCCCTTCCAAGTAGCTGTTATTCAGGATCAGGAAATGTGTATTCTCTGGGATATAAACTGAGCTTCCCACCACTTTGTCTCACACCTCTGCTATGTCCAAGACACTGTAATTATCAAAGTGAGCTGCAATTGTGGTAGTCTTCTGTAGTAAAGGTGGTGAACCACAGCTCTGGCTTGAGGGTGCTGATCAGCCAGAAGCAGCCTGCATTTGTGTCAAGAAGTGCAGGTTTCTTCTTGCCCTTTCCTTTGGATGCCCCCTTGTATCCAATCCAACAGCAACCCACCAATGAACAGCTCTTGGAGGAAGCTCTGACGATGTCTGACGGCTCGGGCTCAGCAGCGCAGCTTCTGTTGGCCAAATGCCATTGCAGCACAACCTTCAGAGGGGGCCCTTTCCACCTTTCTAAGAAGGAAAAAACAGCTACCCCAAAAGGCAGCTTCCACACACTGCTGAATTTAAACTAATTACAAGGGCAACCTCTTCTCGTTCCTCAGGGCTAAGGTTCCCAACCTGCAAGCATGTAGGGCTCTTGCTCACAATTGGGGCCAGGTGCCCATCAGCATTCCCGATGGCAGGAAAGAGTCCCATGAACAAGCATAAAGCTGCACACTCATGGGGCCCTTCCTGAGAAACGCTGCATGTCCAGCTGCCTGAGGTGAATGGGGGTGGTAGCCCCAGTACCTACTCTCTGGACCAGCATGTGGCATCCTGACAGACCCTTTCGTCAATAAAATGAGTGGCAGAGGATGCCTCAAATGGAGGAAGAAAAGGGCACACTGTTGGTCTTGTGGCCTGTTAAGGCATCTCTGACTTATGGGACCCCGTGAATGAAAGCCCTCCAGAATTGCCCTGCCCATCACAGCCCTGCTCAGCTCCTCTCAGTTCAAGGCCGTGGCTTCCTTTATGGAGTCAGTCTGTTTTAGGGTTGGTCTTTCTCTTCTGCCTTCGACTTTCATTGACAAGGCAGGCCCAGCAAGAAGAAGTGGTGTGCACTGTAAAAAAAGAGACTGGCGAAAGACAGGTTAGTTCCATACTGTGAGAAGAAATTTGAGGGGTGAAAGTTTGCCTCAGTTGTTTGTCATTCATTAATTTGTGAGTATCCAGTGAAAAGGGCACCTCCCTCCAGTGCACTGAGGGCTGTCCTGCCTGAGGCATTTATCATGTGCTTGTCATTCTCTACTCACAGTTATTTGCTGGTTCTTTAAACAATATTGTGACCATCTCGTTTTGCTTCCGTGCTTAACCAGTACTTTCATCAAGCTTTTTTTTATTTTTAAGAGGAGGGAAAATGTGACATTTAATCATGAACATTAGAAGAAGCACAATTTCCTCTTGTCTAGCTACACTATTCTGCTATACCGTAGTGTGATCTAGAGGACCTGTAGCAGGAAAGTGGTGTACTGCCTGGATCTCAGTTCTGCAACAAAACCAAAAAAAGTGGGGTGGGGGGGCAGGTGAAGAGCCACTTAACAGCCTCGGGTTAAAAACAAACAAGCAAGCAAACCTAACCTATAAACCATCACTGAAATGGTACAGGTGTTCTAGCTGAAGCATGCTGGGAGCTGAGGCCCTTTCTCTGTCTAAACATGCATAGGATTATGCCATTAATACTACATTAATACTAAACAGCTTGCAATCTTTAGGGCTCCTTGCTTTTTCATCCTCCTCCTGCTTCCATTTATCAGTTCTCCTTGGATTTTGGCCTTTTGCATGAGCATGTGCTCTTATCTGCCCATACTCCTGACCTGTATTCTAATGCCTCAATATGAAATTCCTTTTCTAGAAAGCTTTGTTTACTTTCAGGTACTTTGTTCTGTGTTCTGTCATTTGCTGAACATATAGTCTGGCACATGGAGCATAATCACATCCACCAACTGAAAAAATGGAAACATTACTTCAGCACTCTGCAAATGTAATTTCCAGTTTCCAGACGTTTCTGATGATATAAAAGCCTTTGCTAAATCAACCATATAAAGATATATAATGCAAAGTATACTGTTTTCTACTATTTCTCGGAGGGTTTGGTTTGGTTTTGTGTTTTGTTTTGTTTTGCTGCAAGTATTTGGGGTAAGCGTTATAGGATTATTGAAACGTGAGCAGTTCCACGGGTGTTGTCTCAGCAGAGATCCTCATTGAGGGCCTGCATACACATTTGCATATTCCCTGACCCAGAGGGGTATGGCTGTCTTTGCGATCCCCCAGCAGCAGGGCCAGCCTTCCCGTGAGGTGAGCTGGAGAGTGGTGAAATGCCCACTCCCTGTTCCCTGCCAGGAGCTGAGTGGGCCCTCCAAAGAGCGTCACCGGCTGCTCCTGCCAAGATATTTGCCACTGTGGTCGAGGGAGTCTGACAGACCTCCCTGGAACTGCCCCCCCCCCCCGCCCCACCAGCAGCACAACAGCAGATGCTTTGGTCAGGCCCACTGCCCTGCTTCAGCAAAGCTATTTTCCAAGATGTTTCTGGATGACGGCACTCCATCATCTCCTCTGGTGCTGCAAATTGTTTGAGTGTTATCTGATTTCCCTGGTTCTAACTTCAGTAAGACAGATCCCCCTCCCCTCCTCTGTTCCTTGCCAGCGATCCCTTTGCTGCGTAAGAAAGTTTTCTTTTCAATAGAACTGTGGAGCTTCTGAAGGAAGCACAGAAGCACATGATACATTCTCCTTTTATTTTCTTTTTTCAAAGAGCTCTGTGTTCCATTTTCGTTGG